ACTAGATAAACTCTAAAGAATATTGAGAGAGAACTGGGAGTAAAATCTTACTATAACTATTATAAGTTATAAATATTTCAAGTTTTTCATATACATTTCACTTTATATTATTTCTTTATTCGGTTAATTTATTAGTTATATATCTCAGTATAACGAATTTCCCCCAAACTTAGTGGCTTAACATACATTTATTATCTTATGGTTTCTGTGGGTCACAAATCCAAGCAAGACTCAGCTGGATCCTCTGGCTCAAGGACTTTCACAGCTTTCTTCAAGGTGTTAGCAGGCTGCAGCCATCCCCAGCCATGACTGGTGAAGGATCTGTTGGTTGCTGGCCAGTGACCCACCTTCCTCCACCGGCCCCGCTCCCCCCAGTTCCTTGCCACAGTGGGCCTCTCTGTAGGATGGCTTACAACATGACCCTTTGCTTCATTAGAGCAAAAAAGCCCAGAGCCAGGGAGATAAGAGAGCAAAATCAAGATGGCAATTACAGCCTTTTGTAGTCTAGTCTCAGGTGATGCCCCATCACTTAGTCTCTGTCGTGTTCATTAGAAATGAGTCACGAAGTCTAGCCCATATTCAAGGGTGTGAATACTAGGAGTGAGGATTGTTGCGGGTCATCCACAGTTATAAAAGCTTTTTAAAGACCATAAAGTTCTATTCATTAGAGGATAATTTCAGTACTTTGAGTCAGGTTGCATTCATATATATAAATATTACATGTTTAGACAGCCAGAGACCTGAATTATAATGAACATTTAAAATTGAGAAGGCTCCTATTGGCTGATCTCTGCCTATTCTCCATGGTCCCCACGTGCCCAGGCTGCCTGCACAGTGATGATGTCCTTGAAGATCCTTGACCAGAGGGGCTGTCCACCCAGGGCTGTCCCCTCCTGCATCTCTTCTTTAAACATCGACTCTAACATATTTGTCCCACAATTACATGAGATATTCCTCTTTTGCATATTGAAATATGCACATCTTTTAAAAATTAGTTTTCAAAATACTACTTTAAAGAAAGTAGAGCGGTAGCAGTGTGTCTGGTGGACCCAGGCCACTTTGTTAATCAGCCGGGGCCTCTGCTGGCCCTACGGTGGCCTTGGCTTCACAGCCTGAACAACTTTAGTTTAGCGTTATCCCTTATCCCTAGAAACCAGGTTGAACTTTTCCAGAACTAGCCCCTAGGGATTGTTGTAGTCACGTCAGATCACCTCATATCACTGTAGCCCTCAGGGCCAGCCAGACATACTGATTTGGGGTTCTTTAAGATTGGGATTCACACGCAAAGCATTCTGAAGACAGTCCATGCCACTAACACTCCAGCAAATTAATAAATTAATTTTCCTGTCCTACTTGGTCAGGAATGGGTTCTCATAGTCATTCTCATATGACCCACCTATTCTGATTGTACCTGGATTTAATTTTTAGAGGTGACTGAGTGACCACACAGGGCCACATGGGGAAGCCTTGGATCAGGTAGGTGGCAGAAGGAGTGCAAGAGGAAGCCTGGGCCAGAGCCTTTACTGTGGCGTCCAAGGGAGGAGTTGGAGAGGCTCGGTAGGCAAGTTTGAGCAAGTGTAGGCTTGGATAGTTTGAATAACTTCACAGAGGAGGCAGTGTGCGGCCTGTGGCAGAGCACGGGTGTGCAGCCTCGGCTGCTCATTGGAATCACCTGAGGGGCTTTAAACCTACCATTGCCTGGGTTCCACCTGCAGAAAATCTTATTGGGCTGAGCGTTTTTTTAGAGCTCTCTAGGTGGTTCTAACGTGCAGAAGTGCAGAACCAAAAACTGTGCCTTCGAGTATTCTCCTCAAACTAGGACCGGGGTTTTTTGTTTGTTTGTTTGTTTTTTAATTTCTAATCCACTATGGACTGATTGATACTTTTGTAAAACACAATAAAAACAAATTATTAGAAAAATCTTGCGGGGGGGAGAAATACAAACTAATTCTTGATATTATTATTAGAGTTAACAGATATACAATAACTGTATAAAAATTTTAAAATACTCTTGATTTCTACACTTACTGTCATGGACACATAACGGAGTGCAGGCACAGGTGCTGGTCTGCAGACCAGACCTTGAGTAGGGCTGTAGAGGGCAACATGGCAAGGGTCCTGCGTTCAGGGAGAGAGGAAACATGTGCCATGGAAAGCGGATTGGGTTCGGATCATACAGGGCCTTGAATGCTGGCGTAAATAGCCTGGCTTTTCTTCTGTAGGTATTGGGGAGCCAGAGAATTCTTGAAAAAAGGGATCCGATAACAGCCATGGAAATTTACTTTGACAACATTGTGTGTGATGGATTCAAGTCATAATAAATTGTTGACAAGACCTGAAGGGGGATGAGGACGAAGAGGGATTAGGTAAAATAAAACAAAAACTGTGTCAAATTTCTAGAGAAGTCACTTCACAAATACTAATAAACTACTTAGAAGATATAGGAATTAAAGATAGCGACTTTTTCTAACGCTTAGATAATCTTCCCCACCCCCAAGAAAAAGCAAAATTAAATTCTAAAAAAATAACTTATTTTTTTTCAGAAACCACACAAATTGAAGATCCAAGAAAACAATGGAGAGGGGAACAGGAGAAAATGCTCAAGGACTATCTCTCAGTGGCTCAAGATGCCCTCAGGACGCAGAAGGAGCTGTACCACGTGAAGGAGCAAAGACTGGCTTTGGCCCTGGATGAATATGTACGATTAAATGATGCCTATAAGGAGAAGTCAAGTTCTCACACAAGCTGTAAGTACAGTTTAACATGGGGACCAAACTGTAGATAACAGAAGGGCACTTCAGTGGAGTTTCATTTTGGGTCCTGTTCCTTCCTCTGCCAGAAGAGTCCCTTAAAGCCATTGTGTGTGTGTGTGTTGGGGGAGAGGGGGCACACCACAGAGTTCTCAATAAAACCCCTGGACCCCGTTTCAGATCAGAGTTTCCTTGTTTGGGGATTATGTATCCCTTCTGTTTTCTCTCTTCCCTCTGCCCGATTGTCTTTTATTTATTCATGAATTAATTTTTGCCTTGTCAGATCAAGGAAAATAATGTAGTCCTTTTTGCTACTCTTGCACTCTATTTGTTGTGGGGAGGAACTGAACTATTAGCCAAAGTGAAGTTTCTGTTGACCACCTGAGTTGATTGACCTCTCTTTCTTCTCAAAATCCGATCATTTGGAGCAGGTCTTGTTTAAAGAAGCAGCTAAGATAAACTCAGAAGTTTTATTAAATTATAAGTTTCTGGATAATGCGAAGCTCTGATAAACTGTACCCGCAATAAGGTCCTCTAAGATTTTATAAATTGGTATAAAATCCAGAAGAAAATTAAGTATGCCAGAGTCTTTATGACATTTTCTTTCTTGAGTTTTTTAAAATATATAAAAGGTTTGAAGATTACTTTTTATATTTAGGTGTCTGATGAATGACAATAAAGGAATTGTAAAGTAAGTAAGTATCCACAGAAGCATGTAAATCTTGTTTTTAGAGTTTGTAAATTCTAAACTGAGAGCTAGTTATGTAACTATGTTTTTCATTTTTCTCTTTGAAAAGTGTTCTCAGGATCTTCATCTAGTACTAAATATGATCCTGATATTTTAAAAGCTGAGATCTCCACGACGCGATTAAGGGTAAGAATTTTTTATTGCGGTTTTACATTGAACATTTGCGTAGACTCTGAAGTTGGGGAAAGGGCTTTAGTGGTCACCTGCAATCTCCATTTAGTGTGGGATCCTCCTCCACTTATTCCTGATGGGTGATGTTTCTGCCTTTGTTAGAACTTTTTCAGTGATTGAGTTTGTTCTTGTTATTGAGACAGAGTGTGTTTCATTACTGGGTAGTTTTATTATTTGCATTTAATGTATTGAATCAAAAATTTTTAAATTTAATTTATTTTAATTAGTTTCAAGTATACAGTACATTGGTTAGGAATCTATATAGTTCATAAAATGATCCTCCCAATTGCTCCCTCCCTCCTCTGACCCTCCACCTAGCCAACATATTAATACTAATTGCATTCCCGTGCTCTCCATCCCTGTGACCATCCATCAGCTGCTAATATGTACTTCTTTAACCCTTCACCCCATTCTCCCAGCCCCTAAGGCTCCCCTTCTAAAAATCACCAAATCGTCCACTATATTTGTGAGTCTGTTTTTTGATTAGTTTGTCTTTTTTACTCTTTAGATTCCACATATAAGTAAAATCATATAATGTTTATCTTTCTCTGTCTGACTTAAATACCTTCTAGGTCCATCAAAGCAATATCTTTTTCCATCCCTTTCCTTTTTATATATAGGGGTCTTGTTTTCTTATCCATTCATCTACTTTATCTTTCAGTTGGAGCACTTAATTCTTTTCCATTTGAGGTGCTTATTGATAGGAATGTAGTTGTTACCATTCTTTATTCCTGTTTTTGATACATGGTTTTTCTTCTTAAAGAAGTCCCTTCAACCTTTCCTGTAATACTGGCTTGGTGGTGATAAATTCCTTTAGCTTATTTTTGTCTGGGAAGCTTTTTATCTGTCCTTCAACTCTAAATGATAGCTTGGCTGGATAAAGTATCCTTGGGTTTCTTTTGAGAAATCAGCTGCCAGTCTTATGGGTGTTCCTTTATAGGTAACTATCTGTTTTTCTCTTGCCACTTTTAATATTCTTTCTTTGTATTTAAACTTTGGCATTTTAATTATGATGTGTCTTGGTGTAGGCCTCTTTGGATCCCTGGTTTTTGGGGTTCTCTGAGCTTCCTGGGGTTTTATGTCCACTTCCTTCACCAGGTTAGGGAAGTTTTCCATCATTATTTCTTCAAACAGCTGTTCAACATCTTGATTTTCTTCAGGTATGCCGATCAGACGGATATTTGGACTCTTAATAGCGTCCCATATGTTCCTTAAATTATTTTTATGGTCTTGGCATCTTTTTTCTTGCCATTCTGATTGAGCGTCTTTAGCTTTCCCTTCCTCTTCAGTATATTGATTATTTTGAGCTATACGTGCTTGGAAAACAGCAAATGCAGGGAGAGGTTTTCTCTGAGCTCCCCTTATCTGCCTAAGGACAGATCCTCCAAAAGGAACTAGTTGTCCTAAATCCCCTCATGAGGAGTTTCATCAGCCAGGGAATATTGACTCTTATTGAAGGAGAGGAGACTGGAAGTGAACCCCATACCCAGACAAACTTTGTCACAGTCACATCTTATGTCTGTTCTTCTATGGACCCATTCATCTTTCTCAAAAATCATTTACTCTTTCCTAAGAGGCCTACATTCCCCCTTTCCTATTAAGATGATATTTAAGCGTATGTTTAAGCCACCTTAGAGAATGATGCATTTTTACCCTGAGTATCCGTGTGTATACATGAGGTATGCATGTTAATAAACTTCTATTTTCCTCTTCTTAAAAAAATGCTTTCTAACTTTTCTAACTTCTTTATGATTTCTCATATGACCGTGTTGCTTAATTTTTAAATAGTTTAGAATTTTATTATCTTTTATTACTGATTTCAGCTTAATTTCACTGTATTTTTCAATTCTTAAATTTCTCTTTGATTGTTTTTTGTTTCCGGTTACTTGCCCAAATTTTTAAATAAAATAATCACAGTTACTTTTTAAATTTCATGCCTTGATTTTGTAACATCTAGATTTCCTGTATGTTGGAATCTTCAGTATGATCTGAAGAATGATTTTGATTTTTGGTCAATATTTGACTTCTTACAGCTGCTTTTACTTTTTTATTAAGAGCCATGTGTTACGTATTAAAAAGTATAAAGATAATTTGAGGTTTTGGATGATCTTGTCATCCTTCAGCGAGAATTTAGTTTTTAACTTCTTATAGGGAGTTAGGCCAGGGGTAGGTAATTTAATTCAATCAGTGTTTGGGATCTGAAATCTGGATTTCATTCCTTTTGTAAGAGTGAGCCTATTTCCAGTTTACCCTTCCTCTTAGGGCAAAAGCTCTTCAGAATCCCAGCCAAACCCCTGTGCTGGTTCATGAGGGCCCCACATGCTTGATGGAGACTGCACTCCAGATTTCTCCCAAGCGGCTCAGCTTTATGGGACTGCTGGTTCGTATCTCAGGGCTCCCAGCCACTACATTCTCCCAACTTTTCATTGTCTGTTGCATATGCAAATGTCTCAAAAGAGAAAACAGTGCCCAGTCTGGATCATGACTATGGGCTTCCTTTATCTTTTGGGTCTTTAATACAAATTCTTGCTGCCTTGGTAGTTTGCCAGTGTTTTCAAATAGATGTTTTGTTTGTTTTTTCTCATAACTTTTCTACTTGTTCTCAGAAAAAGAGTGTAAAAAATGTTTGTTTATACTTTGTGGAAGCTAAACCTCTCCTCAGTTTGGATTTCTGGGTTAAATTTAGGGAGGCATTGATAGAAGCGTTCTGTGTCTTTTTACTATAAACATCTTCCTGTGCACCACAGACCCTTTACTCTTTCACTCCACCCATATTTCTCTGTACATTTCTCAAGAGTATCTTGTGATGGTTTGTCAAATGCCTCGTTGCCGCGTTTCTGTTCTATGTCCACATTTCTGTGATCTACTAGGCTAGATACCTTATCTGAAAAAGAGAAATGAAGATATTTTGTCAAAACTTACTCTTAATAAACCTCAGGACTTACTTGAGCTGCGCGTTTCTCAGGAAGTTATTACTTACCTTTATTGTCCTTTGAAATTTTAACCATTTTTCACAGTACTTATCTTTGGAAGACACATTGTAAATCCCCCTTTAGGAAAGATGCAAACTAAGGAAGGGAATTAAAAACAAAAAATATATAGGCTAGCTCATACAAATAACCATGTAGAAGGAAATGGAGCCCCACCTCAATCCTGGGAAGATCCCAGGAGAGCCCAGATGCTCACACACCCCAGATCTGGCTCCTAATGCAGCAGAATCTTAGATAAAGCTTATTTTATGCCAGATTTAACATACTCTTACTATCAGAAGCTTGTGTTTCATATATATTGTCACTGCATGACCACAGAGAATACAGGAGTACCTTCCTCAAGAAGGTCCTTCCATCACTAAGAAGATATAAAACACTTTTAAATAATTAATTAAAGATCAGAAGCGACACTCTCTTCATCTCTTTTATTGGTGCTTGCTTAATACTTTCTGTCAATGTAAATGTCATTTTAGAAATGCTCCCTTAGCAAATTGGCCCTCATTGCTGTTGTGATGTTTTGAGCTGTGTCATGGTTTGAACACTGTGGGATAGATGGTGCACTCTCCCTGCTATTTTGTGCACATTTTGGCCAAGTACCACTTTCAGAATGCCCCGACCATTCAGAAGTGGTTGAGTAACTTGGCAGAGTCTCATGGAATTTGATAAACTGGCCTTTCTTGGCTCGTCTACCCCATAAGAATCCCTGTGTGTACCAATAGTCCCTTTCACAAATTAATGCCATAGAAATAGTAACTCAGGAATGAACTAATTCTTTATCATTTTGGTGTCTTGGAGTACCTGCCAGCATTTTGGGTTATAGTAACAATTTTTTAGGCAGAGCCAAACGCTAACTTCATATTTCATTGTTTTGATGCAACAGTATTAGCAGGGGTCAAGTATTTGAGAACCATCTGTCTAAAACATCTGTTTTATATTATTTTATATTATGGTCATAGGTATTGATGATCATTGGGTTTCAGTTTCCTCCTTGGTCAAATGGAATAACGATAACTTCTTGGCATCTTATTTCTAGTTGTTCGAAATAGTGAAATGAATAAATTAATGCTTTTTTTATTAATATACCATAACTTTTTAAGGTAATGTTTGGAGAGAAATATAAAATTTTTACTGCAAAATTTATTATTTATTCATAATAGAGACTTAAACCATAGTCATCTTGGAGTAGGGAATGGAATATCTCATACAAACTAAAACTTAAATTCAACTAATGTTTTTAAAAATATATATCCCAAATTACAAATAGTTGAGGTTTGATGAAAATTTGGTGGAGAAAATGTTCAGTGAATTTGATTAAGGTTTTTACTACTATTTTTTATTAAACCGAAATAAAATATTAGAAGTGTAAAAGAATCTTCAGAAATACCAATGCATTTAAGAAATTTATTGAGCACCATAGCATATCCTCTGATCCAACTTTTAATTTTGTGGAAAAAAAGAGAGAGAAAGAGAGAACAAAGGCCCCTTTGGTTAAATTATTTGTACTCTACACACATGGCTGGTTAGTGTGCACTGTTATTAATAATAATGTACTATGGTCTCAAATATATTCACTCACACATTGTTAGTATGAATTCACTTTGAATTAATTTTAGCAATGGTGATGGACTTAGAAAAGTTATCTATAATCTCACATATCTGTAAACTTGGGCACAGATTTAAAAGAATGGCAGTTGAATTTAAGGTTTAGTTTATAACTGTGAATAGAGTTAATGCAAGTGTACATCAAATTAAGACACTTTAACCACTGATATAACTATCATACAAAAATCATAACAGTATGCTTCAAAAGAAAAGAAATATGCCTTCTGAGAATGTAAATTGCTACAAACAAGGTTTATCTCTTGACTAGACATGAGAGAGATGTTTTTACTTGTACTACATTTAAATCTTAGTTTACATCCCAAATTCTTTCAGCTGTGACTTACCTGATTTCAGGGTATTGAA